GATATTTGATTATATGTATATATGATTTCAAATACTTCTAGTTTCGAAATCAAATTGTTTTTTTTTGGTGGGGGGCCAAAATTATCCCCCCCCCTTATAAAACACTTGGTTGAGGGCCTGTTGTCCCCTGCGGTCACTAACTTGTCCAACAACTCAAATCTATAGGGTCTGGGAAATGCAATCCACTGCCTGGGAAATGTTTAAAATCTAAAAGGTATTTATTAAACATAAAAGACAGGACATAAGATTCACAAAGCAAATTTCAGTTACTAGAATATCAAACCTCCCTTCTAAATTTCATGTTTTGCTTATATTTTAGAGAAAAGGGACTTTGACTGGGGGGGCCAAAATGGTTGAGCGGGGGGGCCACCATGTGGGCTGGGGGGGCTTTGGCCCCCCCAGTTATATAGTTAAAAATGCCCTGCTTATTTTTTCTCCACTTGGTATAAAAAGCATGTCATTCAATAGCTAAAAGCCTGATCTTTCCGAATATGAAAACCAATTGTTCATACGCAGAGTAATTCACGTATAATAGCGCGCTGAAGTTCGATTACCTTTTTTTTTATACACCCTGTATAGTTTATGTCATCAATATTACAAGCAGTCACGCAAGGACAAGATTCTGATGCAGTTTGTTTGGAAACTTGTTCTTGTATGCCTGCAACATAATATTCTATTCAAAGCAAAGCATATCCCTGGGATATATAATCGTTTGGCTGACCTGTTATCTCGCTTTCAGGTTCAAACCTTTCAACGCGAAACATCAGCCTCGATGAATTCTTGCACAACAGACACCCCTCAAGCTCTGCTGCCACAAAATTGGGAAATATCGTTTCCCTCTTGACACGATCCAGTCTGCAGCGCTCTTCGATTCTTACTTATCAACGCGCTTGGAAACTTTTTAACCAGTTCTATTTACATATATCCGATACTATTTCATACACATTGCCTATTTCACCTCATACTTTGGCACTTTTCATTGCATACATGTTTGATCGGCGGTACGCCCCCGCAACTGTCAACACATATGTCTCCGCTCTCGGGTATTCACATAAACTTTTCAATTTGACTGACCCAACAAAAGTGTTTTTCATTATGCAAATGCTAAAGAGCTATGGAAAACAGGGCTTTCGCTTGGATAGTCGGTTATACCAATAACCCCTCCGACCCTTACCCGATTACTTATGGCTGCTCCACAGTGTATTACCACTATATATGATCAATGCCAATTTAAAGTCATGTGTGCTCTGGCATTTTCGCCTTTCTACGTAATGGCGAGCTAACTTCAACATCAAAGCAGTCTCCTACTCCACTAAATTTAAACCAACTCACCAAACTCTTAAGAGACGGTGAAACAATTGGTTTTAAAATAACCTTTACCAACTAGAAACACAATTACAACCAACGCCCGTTTTCCATGGCCATTTATCGTCAGCCAAACCCCAAGCCTTGCCCTGTACAACTTTTGTACAATTACCTGACCCGCCGTGGCAATTCTCCTGGGCCAATTTTCATCACTCCTGTGGGGGGCGACGGTGCCGAGAAACATTTTTATTTCCTACCTAAATCAATGCTTAAAATTTTGCAACCTCAATCCTACGGTTTATAAATCACACAATTTCCGAATTGGTGCAGCATCATTCACAGCTGAACAGGGCTTGTCTGATGCGCAGATTCGCGTCTTGGGTCGTTGGAAGTCCAATGCATTTCACAAATACATTCGAGTTTCAACCCTTACAGCGTCATAAATTATAGATATTTAACCCTTCCCCGGACAACAATGCGCGGTGTTGTCTGGTGGAGGCTTTAAGGGTGGCAGGGCGATGTTATCATACAGGGGCTGACAACACCTTTCTGCCACGGTTTTCTTAGGTTTGCCAAATTATTGTCTGGTTGTGCACCTCGCTTTATGCTATACACTTCAGGCTTGTCAGTTTCAGCAGTTAGCAAGGGCAGCTGCCATTTTTTCGTAATAATCTGTTTAATAATGACAAGACAGTTAGCAGGGGCTACTGCTATCACGTTGTAAAACATGTTTCAGACAGCTTGCAAGGGCGGCTGATCAACGACTTCGCTAGGTATGCATTTAATTATACCAGATTCCATATATCGAGTATCCTAGTTTTGTCTGTCATAATTGAAGACAGTCTGCAAGGGCGACTGTCTTCAATTATGATAATTTTTTAGGTTTATATGTCGTTACGTTCGTTCAGAATTTTCTAATGCGTAAAATAATACGTGTATGGTTGAGGCCATGTAGCGTTGCATTTTTTCGGGTGGGGAGACTTTTGATTCGTTCCTCAATGCTTAGGGCGAATTGCAAAGCCTTTGGCGTATATTCCTGCCACCTTTACTGGCAATCGAACACTTATATAATCAATCTAGACTTGAGTATTATTTTGATGTCAGAGAATATGTTATTTCATTAAATATTTTCAATAAAGCGGCTATGAACTATATTCATAGCCAAAATTTTTCCCATAAAAGTGTCGTCTAAATTTTGTGTCTGCATGCCAGTAAACCAAGCTCGGTTAATGCAACGCTGTTTGATCCTCATAAACTTGAAAGGGAAGGTGGAGACATAAACAATTATAATGGATAATTAAAAATCCATTCTATTTCCAATAAAGGTCCATGCAATTTTAAAGGTCCATGCATTTCAAATTTTTTTCCAGTGATGGGTTGTGTTAAGCCTAAGGGCCTTCTGATTTACTATACATAATTTGTTTTCTTAGAATTAAACTTCCAAGTGCACAAAGAAGGCTGGTTTTTACAACCAAATTAGAAATGGCTTACGCACAAAAATGGAAGGTTTAAAATGTGATTTGAATTCCAAGGAGAAAAGTTTAGAATACGTTTTCCCAACTATCAAATAAAAAAACAAATTCATGCTAAAACGTGAACTTTTTTGCTGTTTTAACATAAAATAAAAGACATTGAATCATGCGCGAGATATATAAAATCGATAACGCATAAAATGTTAATGAGGGAAAAGTTACGTTTTTAATTTTATCCACTTATAATGACTACGAGGTAAGATGGATGAAAGCTATCAATCAAAAACAATTGTCATAAACTGGTAGTGTGCTGCAAAAATAACCTCACTCCTGACATTATCGGGAACAGATATCATCGGCGTTATATTGAAGACCTTCCACATCGTGAAGATTTTACCGGATATTGAATGTCACAAAGGGAAGGGAATATCTGAGAAGCCCAAAACCTTAGTAACTTAGTGTAGTTGGGATCTTGTTAGGACCAGTTGCTTTACTTTCATCATCTTCGACGGGTGAAATAAGAATGTGACTTACCATATTCATCATATATTGTTCTTCAGAAAGTAGTGGCGTAATCATGGAGTAGAAATTATTGCTTAGGAGACTTGCAACATCTGAAGGTTTATTTATAGCAACAACATGTACCTTTTTTGGTACAGTCAAGTATTTGAAATAATAGTTGATATACTAGACAGAATCGTTGAATGTTATATCTTGGGAAGTGAACAATGTCGAAAGCCAGGTTATTAGAAAGATCATTGCACAGTATAACTTCTCCTACTCAGTTAAACGATAATCAAACAGTTACTCGTTGCAATTGGCAAGAGGATATTTGAATATGCATTTTCATGTCAAAGATTAACCTGCTATGGCCAGTAAATACATCCGTTGATTTTGCTGATATATATGGTAAATCATGCACCAATATATTCTGGGGTTTGTGGGGATGAAATCAAGAATGCATAAGTTTAATCTTGCTGGGTATATATATATTTTACCTTGCTGACGGAAAACGTCATAAATAAGCTCATAAAATTCGACAACGTAAAGCGAAGCCCTAATCTGAAAAATATCAAAGATTCTACGTCAAATCATTATTTAGACTTTATTCGTCGTGTTCAGTGATGCGCAGAAAAAAAAAAAATAAGCTGCATAATTTCTTGAGACTGAAATCGGGTGGAGGACAGCCAACACATAAAAAAAAATGCTTGTTGATATTGCTCAGGCTTTTAATGATAAACAACGCAAAGCTTCTGGTTTAGTAATGACAGGACCCGTGTTTATAGCAATGTCACCAACGAGCAGAATGCACAAAAGTAATTGCAAATTGTTACGACTGATACAGAATCTGAGACTACAGAGATGGTGTGTGAGAAAGTGACGTTTACTTTCGTAAGATGAGAACGCATTAGGATGTCGTCCATGTCTTGCATTTTCAAGAGGTTTTAATTGTTCGATACTTTATTGCCTTATAGATAGATAGATAAATGCAATCTTATTTATACAGGGTAATTCCTTCAGTGTAAAAACACTGGTATGAATGGAACCTTAAATAATTGTCGACTGGGTCTTCGTTTACACCTACATGCAATTTGGATAAAAGTGACTATATATGTAGAGATAAATAGCAGAGCCCAGCAAAGGGCTCTGCTCTTTATCTTCAAACTAAGATTTCCGCCTGGTGAAAATTTCAATTGCCACATATAATTATGTAGAGCTTTGAATGCAAACACCATTCAACATGATTTGAGAGACAAGGCCATAATTATGGAGGGAAACACCGTTACGCTTCTATTTGTTTATAAGTTGCGAATAAATTTGACCCCGAATTTGTACCATTTCTTATAGATGTGCTAACTACTAGTTACAGGCACCTACCTCCGAAAGCCGAAGTTTGACATAATCAACACTACGACGATAAGGACTTCGAGTAGTATCAGACGTCCAGACAGCAGAAATGTCGTCAACCAAACATTCGAGCTGTTGCAACGCTTTTACTGGTTGAATGTTAATATCAAAGGAATCTACATAAAATCCACTCCACTTCGGAAAAAATTCTTGAAAGAATGCTCGTCTGTTATCCAATGCAGCTCCAGAAGAAAAAGATGTTAATCTATCCCATGTAGATGGTTCAGGATATATAAATCCATCGTACTTGTGGAAGGTTTCTAAAAACAACAAATATTTGATCGGTAATCATTTATATGAGAATTTCATTTATCTATACCGACGCAGGCGAACAGGAGGGGGAAAATATTTGCCCAACATTTGTGAAATTGCCCGACCTAAGAAATACTTTTGTTGTATATTTGCCACATTTCCTATCAACGGGCGGGGGTTGGGAGGGGGGAGGGGTTGTGTCAAATATCTTCGGGGGGGGAGGGGGGTTGTTTAAAATATATTACATAAATACAGTGCGATAACACATTTTCAGAACGTTGCATATTTTGCTTATTTCAACCAATTTTTGCATGTCGCTCTACCCTTTAATCATTTTGAAGTACAATCTGTCTGATTTTTAAGTACAAACAGCTTTTACGATTATGCCTACAGGGTGTCCCCCCCCAAAAAAGTTACCCTGTTATTTATTTAATATATAACAAAAAATTTAAAACAAATACTACACTCATTTTATTTAAATTAAATTACGTTTGATAGTTTGATAGTCTAATAAAATCGCACTTTTTGCAGTAAATTAAAGTTACTGAATTACAAGGTGATTACAAGTGTAAAATAGAGGTATAAATATATACATGAATTAAGATTATAGGAAATCTAACAACAATAGGAATAACTAATCATTTACTATAAGACTATACTAGCTATTAAGAAGGAGTTTTTAAATCGTTCGGTTTTGAACTTCGGAACATCAACTGTCCTTTCATTCCTTAGATTATAAAAAGGTATTTTCTTACTTATAGATATAAGATTAAAAAGTTTATGATTAGGGTTCGCCAAGATTTTATTAAAAAAGTTCTAGCTCACAAGATTTATTTCTTCTTCTTTCGTTGATAGTCCGCTCATAACAAGGGAGTCTTCGTATTTAAATCCTGGGTGCGCAATTGAGAGTGCACGCTTTTGAATTCGTTCGATATCGTCATTAAGATACGTTGGCAAGGAATAATTGAACACATTTGAAGCATATTCAAGGACCGGTCGAACACATGTCGTATAAAACTGTATAATATCTCTGGCTGGGACGTTTGCACGTTTTAGCTGAACCAAGAGGTATTAAGTTTATTGTATTCAGTCAAGACTAGCTTTTTCATATACAACATGCACTTCATGCAATATTGATGGACATATAAATGAATTTGAATTTGAATTTGAATTTGGAGAGCATGTCGAAAACTGTTAAAAAATCCACAACTTATACGCAGGCGCTATATGAGCTTTAGGACAGGCGTCAGATTGCCAAAGGGGACTGGATTAAAAACTGTGTTTGCATCAGTTTGTGGTAATCGTCAACACATATCACAAAATATAAGTGTTTAAAGTTTTTTGCTTCCTTGCACGAGCGCGCAATGATGCAAAATTCGGCTTAATTAAATTAGTAGGGAATAATTAGTATGTAAGGAATGGAAGACGGAAAGAGGACATAAGAAGCTGGGAAATCAGATAAAGCAGAAACGCTGATCAATATTTCCCAAACCTTAAGTCAACTGAGCATGAATACGCGTACAGGTGTTAGTAGTGATACCCCCCATCTGGCGGCGGAAGTAATTAGTACGCAAACTTTGGCGGCGGAAGTAATTAGTATGCAAACTTAGGTGCCGGAAGTAATTAGTATGCAAAATCCATTTATGAGCTTTCAAAATCTATAACGCCAGGTAGCGCGACCAATTAGCGCGGGCAAGCCTGGGCCAAATGTGACAGGCAACGCGATCAATTAGCATCACAACTAGTTTCTGAAATAGAGGGATTAATGTCGATTTACTATGATTGGAGGTTTGAGGAGTGTTTTTTTTTACATATACAGATGTTGCTAGCGTTCCCATATCTAATATTTAAATCTCGGTCTGCCATATAAAAAGTAGGGCTATATACAAGAGAATATGTTGTTGTCTGAGTTTTATAAGCACAGCTATAGCATTTTGCTGTTGTTGTCAAGTGATTTCTATAATTTAGCTCCTAGAGGAATAAAAAATCTGATACTATATGAAATAGCATGAGTGTTATATATCTAAAACTTATATATTTGGGGTATACAGCTATATGTTTTGTTGTTAAGTAATATATAAATATTATCAAGCGTCAAAACGCTGGGAAATAGCATGCGGTAAGAGTTATGTATCTACAACTAAACTAATATTTAAATCCCGGTCAGCCATATGGGGTCTATATACGAGAGAATATGTTGCTGTCTAGAGTTATATAAACACATGGAAGTTAGAGGTCATGATATATAATTGTCAAGCGATTTCTATATTTTAGTGCTAGGTTTTTAAAGTACTAAAACTCGGATAAGGTTAATAAATTTAAGCTATATTAAAGCACACCGGTTGCTATGTGTTGTTAGGGTGAAACTAATTAAAGGATTAACTTTTATCAGAGATTTGCATTTTCTAGTGTGTGGATAAATACGGGTAGATTAGGATATTCATTGCGCGGGCGTCGTGGGTTATCTGTGCGGGTTGGAAACACAACAATAAGGAGGCTTATATTGGAAGAGAGAAAGCAATTTAGACAAGACAGGAGCGCTTTGCAGCCAAAAGTTTACACAAGAATTCAGTTTTAAAATACATTTATTTCTTCAAGACGTTTACAAAGTATATATGGTCTACTTCTTAGAGCATAATGTGTTTGATTTTATTTAAATTACGCACAACAATTTAAATGTTTTTTGTAATAAGAGTCGTTTGGCTTTATTGTTCATTAGCCATGGTTTCATATACTCCTAGCCCTACATCGACCCTACATCGACCCTACATCGACCCTACATCGACCTCACATCGACCCCACATCGACCCTACATCGACCCTACATCGACCCTACATCGACCCTACATCACACCCACATGTCGCCGTAAAAAATATAAATGGTTCTTCCTTATCCTTATCTTTATCTTCCTTGTCCTTATCTTTATCTTCCTTATCCTTATCTTATCTTTATCTTATTATTCTTATCTTTATCTTCCTTATCCTTATCTTCTTATCTTCCTTATCTTTATCTTCTTATCTTCCTTATCTTTATCTTCTTATCGTTACCTTCTTATTTTTATCTTATCTTCCTTATCCTTATCTTCTTATCTTTATCTTATTATCCTTATCTTTATCTTTATCTTCTTATCTTCCCTATCCTTATCCTTATCTTCCTTAACTTTATCTTCATTTTCTTATCTTCCTTATCCTTATCTTTATTTTCCTTATTTTCATCTTCTCATCTTCCTTATCTTTATTTTCCTTATCTTTATCTTCGTATCTTCCTTATCCTTATCTTTATTTTCCTTATCTTTACTTCTTATCTTCCTTATTTTCCTTATCTTTATCTTCCTTATCCTTATCTTATCTTCCTTATCTTTATCTTTATCTTCTAATCTTTATCTTCTTATCTTCCTCATTTTTACCTTCTTATCTTCCTTATCCCTATATTCTTATCTTTCTTATCCTTATCTTCTTATCCTTATCTTTATCTTCCTTATCTTTATCTTCCTTATCTTTATCTTCCTTATCCTTATCTTCTTATCTTTATCTTAATATCCTTATCTTTATCTTTATCTTCCTTATCCTTATCTTTATCTTCCTTATCTTTATCTTTATCTTCTTTATCTTCCTTATCTTTATCTTCCTTATCCTTATTATTATCTTCTTATCTTCCTTATCCTTAATAATTCTCCCGCTATATTGATATGTTCAACACAACTTAGACTCAGAATCGAGCTCGAATTGCTTGGAGCCGAGTTCGAATGGCTCGGAGCAGAGCTCGAATGGCTTTAGGATTCAATGATTCACTCTTGTGATTCAATGATTCACTCTTACGATTCAATGATTCACTCTTATGATTCAATGATTCAATCTTATGATTCAATGATTCACTCTTATGATTCAATGATTCAATTTTAATTTACGATTCAATGATTCAATCTTAGGATTCAATGATTCAATCTTACGATTCAATGATTCAATCTTAGGATTCAATGATTCACTCTTAGGATTCACTGAGAAGCTTTACAGAAACTTCTGCTCGGCTCCGAGCCTAAGGAGCTGGCTCGGGAGTATAAGATTGAATCATTGAATCCTAAGATTGAATCATTGAATCGTAAGATTGAATCATTGAATCCTAAGATTGAATCATTGAATCGTAAATTAAAATTGAATCATTGAATCATAAGAGTGAATCATTGAATCATAAGATTGAATCATTGAATCATAAGAGTGAATCATTGAATCATAAAGCCATTCGAGCTCTGCTCCGAGCCATTCGAACTCGGCTCCGAGCAATTCGAGCTCGATTCTGAGCCTAAGTTGTGTTGAACATATCAATATAGCAGGAGGATTATTAAGGATAAGGAAGATAATAAGATAATAATAAGGATAAGGAAGATAAAGATAAGGAAGATAAAGATAAGGAAGATAAAGATAAAGATAAGGAAGATAAAGATAAAGATAAGGATAAGGAAGATAAAGATAAGAAAAACAAGATAAAGATAAGAAGATAAGGATAAGGAAGATAAGGATAAGGAAGATAAAGATAAGGAAGATAAAGATAAGGAAGATAAAGATAAGGAAGATAAAGATAAGGAAGATAAAGATAAGGATAAGAAGATAAGGATAAGGAATATAAGAAGATAAGGATAAGGAAAATAAGAAGGTAAAAATAAGGAAGATAAGAAGATAAAGATAAGAAGATAAAGATAAGGAAGAAAAGAAGATAAGGATAAGGAAGAAAAAGATAAGGAAGATAAAGATAAGGAAGATAAGAAGATAAAGATAAGGAAAATAAAGATAAGGATAAGGAAGATAAGAAGATAAAGATAAGGAAAATAAAGATAAGGAAGATAAGAAGATAAAGATAAGGAAGATAAAGATAAGGAAGATAAAGATAAGGAAGATAAGAAGATGAAGATAAGAAGATGAAGATAAAGATAAGGAAGATAAGAAAATAAGGATAAGGAAGATAAGAAGATAAAGATAAGGATAATAAGATAAAGATAAGAAGATAAGGATAAG